GGCCAGAGGTGTGGTGGGTGAGAGGATTCACCAGAGACAGAGTGGGGAGCAGAACAGGCCGACTGACGAAGTACACTGATGAGGGGAGTAGCGGGGAGGCAGGAGAGGTCTGCCGCACCCTGGTCATCTCTGGGGCGGGGATCGAACTCATGCGGAAATGGCTTTAGCTTCTCAGTGCTGTATTTACCCACTGTGCCACCAGGGAGGGCCTAACATTCAATTTTTAACTCACTTTGGCTCTTCATCATTGCTTCCCAGTCAGTGCCTGTGGGAGTTACAGAGTAAGAGTCTGCTTACGATGTTGGACACTTAGGCATCACCCAAATACGAGTAACAGTATGACATTTTGCAAGAGCACAAATGGCCTATTTATGATTGATTTTCCCATAATCTGTAAGCCCATAGCTGCATAATTCTGCACTCCATATTTTCAGGAATTTATAGAAGCTTGTGAAAACCTGGTCCCAGTGGAAAGAGTGATATATAATGTTCTCTGTGAACTGGAGAAGAACTTTGATGAGAATATTATAGATATAGTGTTTAGCAAGGTCAACCTGAAGGCCTATCCTGATCTGAATGAGATTTGCAGCAACTTTCAAGAAGGTAATTCAGTGAATTTTGGGATCAGGTTCAATCCATGCACCATTCTTCTTGAGTATTTGACAGTCGTTTTATGGAGTAATGGCTTTGTGGCAGGCGCAGAGAGAATAGGAAACATATCTGGCAGCATCCTCATGGAGCAGACGCATCATGGGGGTGACAGGTGCTAACCAAGTAATCCCACAAATGATCGCTCAGTCAGAACCTAAATGTGGTTCTGAGGATTTGAGGCACTACTTTTTTTTTGGGGGGGGGGAAAGGGGGGAGATATGAACGTTGCCCTTTAGTTGCAAAGAAGACTCTCTATTGGGTACTTGCAGACAAGCCTGAGAACGAAAAGCTTTTCTTCATATTAGAAAACGTTTCATTCAGTGAAGTTCTGTGCCAGCTTATTCTCAAAACAATGGTTGGAGAACTCAGCAGAGAACCCAGCATCCACCCACACACGGCTTTCGGATGTGGGGGCTGAAAAGCAAAAAAACAGATCTCGAGGGATGTTTGGAAACTGATAATGCAAAGAGAAGTTGAGGGAATTGTTGAGGACGTGATACCTGGGCAGAGGAATTGGAAGTTTATAGTCAAAGAAATATAGAAGCAATAAGAGATTCTCAAGCAGAGAAAAAGTAGAGACTGTCAGAATCAAGCATGGGATGTGTTGATTTTTGAAAATCACAATCTTTATTAAAATAAGAGCTCGCTCATTTCCATGCGATGCCATAGCAAGCCAGAGGAGGCAATGAAGGCGTCGAATGCTTAATCACTGATTTCAAGCTGCTATTACATTTACGACCAAGAGGTCCTGAGCACAGGTAGGAAGGCCCAGCAGGCATGGCCGCTGCCCAGGCTCCTGGCTGAGGTCCACCCTGGGGGCTGCAGGGACCCCGTCCCAAGGACCCTGGCACACCTATGACACGGGTTGCTTCCAGGACTCCTGTGCTGAAATGACTGCCACCCCCCCCACCCCGGATTGTGCCGCCAGGACAGGGCTCCCTTAGGCTGGAAGTTTTCCTCTGAGCTCCCAGAGTCCAGGCAGTGCCAGGATATGCAACTGAGATGCAACCCCAGGGGACCGCTAAGATCCCTGAGCGCATTTTCCTTCCTCTTAGAGATTGGCAACAAATATTTTTCACAAAAAACTGTTGGAGACCTGAAGGAGCTGCTCCCAGTCCAATTAAGTGATGTGCAAGGTAATGAAGACCTGGTAGAAGTATGTTTTTTCAGCTCCCCAAGAAAATTCCAGCGGAGGTCAGGTGCCCAGGTTC